CACTCAATTTCATATAATATTTCCCCATGACCACCCAATTTCTTTTAACATTTTTTACTAACTTTAAAAGGGTAAAACGGTAACTTTGTATTATATATATAAAATAAATTAAAAAATAAACAAAACTATATTTTTTTTCAATTTTAAAAACGTTTATCTTAATAAAATAAGTTCTCATTTTATTTAAAAAACGATTTTTCAAATAAGTTTTTAATTTATTTTATTTTTCTAAGTAATTTTTTTTTTAAAAATAATTTTTTATTTTATTTCAAAAATGTTTTTAAATAAGTTTTTATTTTACTTTATTTTTTAAGTAACATTTTTTTAAATAAGTTTTTTTTTTAATTTTTTTTATGTAACTTCTTTTAAAACTATTTTACTATTTTTTTAAAATAAGTTTTTATTTTAATTTTTTAAAATTTATTTTATATATATAATGTAAAGTTACCGTTTTACTTCTTTTAAAATTAATGAAAATAGTGAAAAGAAGTTGAGTGGTTATTGTGAATTGTTATAAGAAATTAGGTGATCATGGTAAAACGTTATATGAAATTGGATGACCATAGTGAAATAAAATCAAAATGTGCGATCATGGTGACATTAAGCATAAGATTGTATAATCATGATAAAACAAAATTAAATTAAGTAATTAAGGTAATACCAAGAATAAATTTAAACAAAATCTAGTTTCCTCAAACACTATCAACCCTTCCAAATAGCAAACAACAAAGCCCTAGACAAACGTGCCAAAATCTCTTTATTCTTCACACCATCTCTCTCTCTCTCTCTCTCTCTCTCTCTCTCTCTCTCTCTCTAAGTTCTCTCTATTTTGATTATTGGCTCCTTATGACCTCGAAACATTCTAACTTTTCTTATTTCGAATCCTTTTTTTCTTTCTTTTTAATTGATTGCCATAATTTTTGATCTTTAGAACTATATCTGACCTGGGCCCCTATTAATTTTATTTGTGTCATCATAGCCTCCTATTTGATTTTATTTCATCAGGCTACCCAATTTCTTTTAACCATTTTTACTAATTTTAAAAGGGTAAAAATGGTAACTTTGTATTATATATATAAAATAAATTAAAAATAAACAGAAATATATTTTTTTTCAATTTTAAAAACATTTATTTTAAAATAGGTTTTTATTTTATTTTACTAAGTAATTTTTTTTAAAGAATAAGTTTTTATTTTATTTCAAAAACATGTTTTTAAATAATTTTTTATTTTATTTTTTAAGTAACATTGTTTAAAAAGTTAAGTTTTTATTCAAATTTTTTTATGTAACTTATTTTTAAATAAGTTTTTATTTTAATTTTTTTATATTTATTTTATATATATAATGTAAAATTACAATTTTACCTCTTTTAAAATTAATGAAAATTGTGAAAAGAAGTTTGATGGTTATTGTGAATTGTTATATGAAATTGAATGATCATGGTGAAACATTATATGAAATTCGATGACTATGATGAAATAAAATCAAAATGGGTGATTATGGTAACATTAAGTATAGAATTGTGTGGTTATGATGAAACAAAATCAAATTAAGTTATGAAAGTTAAACGGTCAATGGATTTAACCCCTTCCTAGCTAGTTTCCTTACTCTTGACTAGAGATTATTAATATTGTATATTGACACTATCAACCCTTCCAAATTGCAAACAACAAACCAAAATCTCTTTATTCTTCACACCCTCCATCGCCATCACCATCTCTCTCTCTAAGTTCTCTCTATTTTGATTATTGGCTCCTCGTGATCTTGAAACATTCTGACTTTTCTTATTTGGAATCCTTCTTTTTCTTTCTTTTTAATTGATTGCCATAATTTTTTATCTTTAAAAGTATATCTGACCTGGGCCCTATTAATTTTATTTGTGTCACCATAGCCACTCAATTTGATTTTATTTCATCATGGCCACCCGATTTCTTTTAACCATTTTTACTAATTTAAAATTGTAACTTTGCATTATATATATAAAATAAATTTTAAAAAAACAAAAATAAAAGTTTTTTTTTATTTTAAAAACGTTTTTCAAATAAGTTTTTATTTTATTTTATTTTTCTAAGTAATTTTTTTTTTAAAAAAATAAGTTTGTATTTTATTTTATTTTTTAAGTAACATTTTTTAAAAAAATAAGTTTTTATTCAATTTTTTTATATTTATTTTATATATATAATGTAAAGTTACCGTTTACCTCTTTTAAAATTAATGAAAATTGTGAAAAGAAGTTTGGTAGTTATTGTAAATTGTTATATGAAATTGAGTGGCAATGGTGAAACGTTATATAAAATTGGATGACCACGATGAAATAAAATCAAAATGGATAATCATGATGACATTAAGTATAAAATTGTGTAGTTATGATGAAATAAAATAAAATTAAGCCCCTGTTTGACACCCATTTTTTATCTCATTCTCATTTTTCTACAGTACTCGTTTCTAACCACACATTCTTCAAATAAAATAATATTACACATAAACCCAAAAATTCTTCTTACTTTTTAACCACATATTCTTTACATCAATCACTATCCCCTGTTTGACACCCATTTTTTATCTCATTCTCATTCTCATTTTTCTACAGTACTCATTTCTAACCACACATTCTTCAAATAAAATAATATTACACATAAACCCAAAAATTCTTCTTACTTTTTAACCACATATTCTTTACATCAATCACTATTCAAAAACTCATTCTTCAAAATAATGGGTGTCAAACGGGGCCTAAATGATGAAAGTTAAACGTCAATGGATTTAACCCCATTGTAGCTAGTTTCCTCACTCCTGACCAGAGATTATTAATATTGTATATTGACACTATCAACCCTTCCAGATGGCAAACAACAAAACCCCAGACAAACGTACCAAAATCTCTTTACTCTTTAACACCATCCATCTCTCTCTCTCTCTCTCTCTCTCTAAAGTTCTCTCTATTTTGATTCTTGGCTCCTTGTGATATTGAAACATTCTAACTTTTCTTATTTGGAATCCTTTTTTTCTTCTTTCTTTTTAATTGATTGCCATTATTTTTGATCTTTAGAACTATATCTGACCTGGGCCCTATTAATTTCTTGAAAAGACATGATCTTTAACATTTTATTGGCTGGTTTTCTTTCATTATTTTATTTTATTTTTTAAGTAATATTTTTTTAAAAAATAAGTTTTTATTCAATTTTTTTAAATTTATTTTATATTATATATATATAATGTAAAGTTACCGTTTAACTCTTTTAAAATTAATGAAAATTGTGAAAAGAAGTTTGGTAGTTATTGTAAATTGTTATATGAAATTGAGTGGCAATGGTGAAACGTTATATGAAATTGGATGACCACGGTGAAATAAAATCAAAATGGATGATCATGGTGACATTAAGTATAAAATTGTGTAGTTATGATGAAATAAAATAAAATAAAATGATGAAAGTTAAACGGTCAATGGATTTAACCCCTTTCTAGCTAGTTTCCTCACTCTTGACCAGAGATTATTAATATTGTATATTGACACTATCAACCCTTCCAGATTGCAAACAACAAAACCCCAGACAAACGTACCAAAATCTCTTTACTCTTAACACCATTCATCTCTCTCTCTCTCTCTCTAAAGTTATCTCTATTTTGATTCTTGGCTCCTTGTGATATTGAAACATTCTAACTTTTCTTATTTGGAAACCTTTTTTTCTTCTTTCTTTTTAATTGATTGCCATAATTTTTGATCTTTAGAACTATATCTGACCTGGGCCCTATTAATTTCTTGAAAAGACATGATCTTTAGCATTTTATTGGCTGGTTTTCTTTCAATTGTGTCATGGTGGCTGGTTATGGACTATGGGGGTCCACTGATTCTTGGGTGTTGCTTTGCAGTCTTGAATTAGACTTTTTGGTTAGTCTTCTTTATGGATTTTTTAATCCATTTTATATATTTTAGCTTTTGAATTGTAAGTGGGTTTTGTTTAATTGCGAAGAGAAAATGGTATTAGAGTTCTGTTAGTTCAAATATTTCTTTAGTAATGATATATTTGTTGACTTCTCTATTATCGTTATGGTGTATTTGGTAGGGATGATTGAATACCAGTGGACAGTATTTAAGAACCAAAAGAGAAAAAAAGAAGAAGCTAAAATCTTGTTCATTATACCCGGTTTTGTATCCACTAATTCGTACCAAACATGCTCTTATAGGGTTTTGCTTGCATTTCATTATCCAAAATTAATGACTCTTGAATCCATTATATCAATTTCGAGTATGATTCTGGTTACTTCTGTATCGTATTTTCAATTTTTTTTCTGGGTTTTCCTTTTATTATATGAATTCTGTGTGTTTACACTTCTACATTTTGTTGATTTATGTTGTATGCATATGATTTTGTTCATATATCTCTTGTACATGTAAAGAGAAAATTTCATAAGAAGGACGAGTAGTGAAAGGAAATGAATATATTAATTATCTATCCTCTTCACTGGATAGCATGGCTGGCTAAGCTTAAAAAGCTTGTGTAATTCTTTTGTTGGCCAAAGTTGGTAATAAGTAGTTAACTTATTTTGACATTAGTTAGATACTTTTCAAAAAAAAATTAAAAATTAGCCCTTTTACTTGAGGAAAGGTAAAAAAAGTTTATGTAAAAATGTTTGAAGACTACATTCACCTAAAAATAAGTTTACTTCTTCTTTAAGCTTAGGCAAACATGCTCTATGGGGTTTAAATTGTACGAATGACATATCGGTAGTCTGTATTCTGTCGGTATGCATGTTATTTAAACGATGTCGGGATTTGAAGTTCCAAGTTTGTTTCTATCTTGTGTCGGAAGATGACTATATCAATCCTGCTTCTCCAAGAGACTTTGCTATTGATTTGTGTACTATTTTACAGGTTAGTTCTTGAGGTTGCTAAATTTTTGAAATTAAATGAATCACTAAATTACCTATCAAAAAAAAAAAAAAAAAGTTCGTTTCTATCTCAGGAAGTTTAAGGCAGTAGTTGTAGAAAGTAGACAGATATGGCTATTGCGGCAGCTGTTACTGAGAGGGTGACTAGCGACATGCTGATTGGTACAGATTGGGCAGTAAACATAGAGCTTTGTGATATAATAAATGTGGATCCTGGGTATTGTTTCTTTTACTTAACTAAGTGCATGCTAATTTTTTCAAGTCATTTTTAACCAAAATGAGATAGATATTTGCTTTTTATGGGAATTCAATTTTTTCATGGACCTTTCCACGTAAGAGATAAGTACCTTTGATGAGGTTGAAGGTCACAAACAATATCATCTTTCCGTGAAGTTTTCTTTAATTCCCATTTTTCAGATTTTTTTTTGTGATTATAATTTCAATATTGTAGGTGAGCTTGTAGATTGCCCTTTTTTTCCCCCCTAGACATTTTTGGGTATAGTTGGCATTTTTACCAGTGATTACCCCATAGCAGTAAACGGACCTTTTAATGATAATTTAGAGCTCTGATTATATATTCTCAAGTATGTTAATTTTTTCATTTGAGGAGTTGTTGCTACATTGGCATGAGGAATATAAATTATTACTCCTGTGCTCGTTATCACATTGATCTCTTAAAGATCATTACTTAAGTAAATTAATTGATCCTTGAATTAAAAGTCAATTAACACTGTATTTTAATGGGTAAGCAAGCATAAATCAAATCTTTATCAAGTAATGTTAGTGACTGAATCAAGAAAAATCTAACTAAAGTGTGAAGTTAGTGACTATATAGGTGACCAAATTTGAGTTGGATGCAAATTTAATTAAGAGTTCACAATAAATCGGTGGTTTGCACTTGTAAGTGGAGATGGTGGGGTCTGTGGGAGAAGGGCATGGTGCTGAGATTTTAAGCATATTTAAAAACATTTTTCCTTTCTGTTTTTAGCTAGGCATATCATGATGTAGGCTTAAATAAGTGGAATATTGGACAAGACTTGGATGTGAACATGCTTTTTTTTTCTTTGGTCTTATAAACTTACGCACATTAATTTAAACCATTTTTTTTCCCTCTTTGATGATAATCGTATGCATAATTATTGGGATTGTGCTAAATTATGCATTACTTTATTAGTTTAGCTCAACTTCTTAGGAATATTTATGTCCTTGACATAGAATCTCTGTTTTCGATTTATATATATATTTTTTAGGGTGAGCCCAAAAGCCAAAAAATTGCTTATTCATTGTAAAAAAATACAAAACATGATACTAAAATCAGTCCCTTGGACATTCTAATAGGAAATGAATAATGCTATATGTACATATTGGGGATCATACCCATATGATGTGGAAAGTAATGTGGGGGTGAATGATAAGGCATGTATGAAATCACATGGGGATCATATTCAGTTTGTACATGTAGCATTACACTATGAAAAAGTTTGTACTACATCAATGAAACCTGTTATGTGAATAAAAGTTATATAGGACTTTTAAATGCGTATGTTCTCCTAGAAGAAATGAAATGACAATCCTGAACATAAAGGAAGCCTAAAATATGCAGAACTGCTATATTTATCTTAAGATTTAGTGATTTACTGTGTGGCTTGTAGACTCTTTGAGTTCCTATCTTAGTGCTTGGTAGTTCTAAATGGTGCATTCTACAGTGATTCTCTATCCTTGTGCTAAGCTTTGTATTTTTGAATTTATTTTCTTCTTAAACCCCTGAATCTTTGTCAGTTATTGTATTTCTTTTGGGCCCTTTGTTGTATTAGTGCGTTCATTATGTGGATGCACGAGGGTCTCTTTATACATAACTCCACGAGTTGAATTGAAATTGCAGGCAAGTGAAGGATGCACTGAAGATACATAATAAACGACGGGGGAATAAAAACCCTAAAATACAGCTTCTTTCATTATTTGTAAGTACTTTGCATCTTTCTTTCTTTATTAGATATGCTCGTTTTATCCATTACCAAACATGTTAAATTTTTCATAACCTCATGGACACTATGACATTAATTTTCTGTGTATCAAGTTTATTGGGAAGTTGGTTGCTAGAAATTTCTAGTTTCATTGTGTGGACATGAGGAAGTATAGTTCTGTATGAGCATTTAAAGAGTTGTTGTCAAAACTTCTCATCATAATTGTTCTTCAGCAATGTCTATAGATAATATATATGTGCTTTCATCCTCCATAAGGTAAATAAGCTATCCAAATAGTTAATTTGTAACGGTGGTACATTCTTGTGGGGATTGTCTTGAAGAAGTCAAATTTAGGTTATGTTTTTGAGCCTGAACTGATGCATTACTTCTTGTATTGGCAGATATATTTCTCCTAAAGTAATTTTCAATGTTATTAAGATACATTACTTTCATTGCACCTGTGAGATCATCCATGCTGTTCCTCTTTCAGATACAGTAGCTTAGTGTGTGTTTTTATCTTTTTCATTTGATGAATCAAAATATATACTTTTGTAAAAAGAAAACATTATAGCCCTTTACACATATTTGCCACTTGTAAGACAGAAAATACATATATTTTCTTTACTTACTCTAGTTTAGAACCTATATATAGGTACGCCTCTGCATGTATTTAAGACATTTCATTGAAGTGTAACCTGATAAAACTGATTATTTTTTAATACGTGATTCAGGTTTTGGAGACTCTTGGCGAAATTTGTGAGGAGAATGGGTTTCAGCAGATACTGGAGTGGGACGTTTTACATGACATGGTGAAAATTGTAAAGAAGAAGGTGGTGCAGCTCTTTTAGCTATAATATCAATCTTTTTCTTCATTGGGATCCTAATGTATCTTTCACATCTGACTTATTATTGACTTCTGCAGTCTGATTTAAATGTGAGGGAGAAAATTTTAATAATGATGGACACCCGGCAAGAAGCTTTAGAAGGACCCTGGGGAAGGTTTCCCCATTACCACGCTGCCTACAATGAACTGAAGGTGACTATTATCTCTCTATTTCAGCTTGTTTTTTAATGAATAGTAATGAGGATGAAAAAGAATCTAAAATCTTGTTCATGGTAAAGTCAAGTTCTATCTAGTGCTGTTTACCAAACATGCACTTCCACTATAATTTTAATGTAAAACTAATATCTACTGTGTTTCTTTTTCTTCTGGAGAAGTGGATTGAAACTTCACTTCTTGATACTGGGTGGGGTCGGTTTAAAGGTTTTTTTGTTTGTTTGTTTGTTGTGTGTGTGTGTGTGTGTGTGTGTAGGGGGNGGGGGGGGGGGGGGGGGGGGGGGGGGGGGGTGTATGAGTTACTCTTGTTTGGATTTTCATCAACTCACAAGTCATTTGCATTCGAGAATTGACAGGCTGCTGGTGTAGAATTGCCCCCTGGAGAGGAAAATAGTGTACCTCTGTTCACTCCACCACAAACACATCCTGTAGTTCACCCTGCTTCTGCATATGAGGAAGCTGCCGTTCAGGCCTCTCTTCTGGCTGATCCTTCTGGACTTAGGTATATCCTACTTTATGGGCTTGTGAGTTGCACGGATTTGCTCACGAAACTTTAGTCATATATGTATAGAAAGGTTTAATTAGTACGGTCGTCTATATGTTTAATCTCAATAAAGCTTTTCACTCCGAGTTAAGCATTTCCTATGTTCACATGAATTTTTCATCTTATAAACTTATTTATATCATTCCCTTATACAGTTTGCCCGAAATTCAAAATGCTGAGGGACTTGCTGACATTTTAACTGAAATTCTTGTTGCATTGGATATGAAAAATTCTCAGGTTAAACTTCTTTTACTCTTCCTCCTCCTTTTTCATTTTTTTTCCCTCTTTGGAAGATTCATTAATACTTTACGCTTGTTTCTTTTGCCTCACACATAATCCTAGAAGTTTTTTCCCTCTGATTCAGGGGGTAAAATCGTTCACTCTTTTATTGGATACAACCTTTTCACTAATAGTTTCTTGTGCTCAGTATTTATATTCTCGGCTGCCTCACAATTTGAATTTAACTTAGGTTCGAGTCTCTACTGTTTTTGTAGTTGCAAACATATAATTTCTTTCCAGTGCGAGGGAGAAATATAATTGTAATTAAATGTGAAAATCTCAAACTATTTGATAATAGTTGAGCATGAATTCTCTGGTATAAATCATAATTTTTATTGTTTAATTCATTTCCTTAATTTTTGCATTATGGTTCTATGAAAATCTAGTGCTAAGAGTAATGTAGAATTGGAGTTCTCGACAAAATTCAGTGCATAGAATTTATACAGACATAAATCATACAAGCACATTCTTCTACATTGCAGAAATTTGCTGACTTTGTTGCTTTTTGTGATTGGCAACATCACTTTAAGTACTCTATTATCGATATCAAATTATTAGGGGATGGTGTCTAAGGTCATATGGGAACATCTCAGTTAGAAACGATTGAATAAGAAATAAATTATGTCTTGGTGATTCGGGGCTTTAATCTTTGAGTTGAAGTGACTCCACGTTGTTATTGCACTCGTTGACTGTGATATTCTCCTAAAGCTATTCAAGGATTCATAATTTTGCGATTTTAAGTTGTAATTTGAGTGTTTTGTTCTTAAAGCTATTCTAGAATTCAAGTTGATGTGATGGAAATACTACGACCTCTACACATATGATTTTGTCCTGAAGTAATGGACCAACCTCATGTATATTCAGTTAAATCATTGAACCTTCATTTGGCTATAATATATTGAAACAACTATTCTCGTGAAAAATGCTAAATTCTGGAGAGCATTCATACTTGTCCATCGTTAATATATTGGCTTTCAACATAGGGTGTGAAGGACGAGCTGATCATTGACCTGGTTGAGCAATGCCGTTCATACCAAAAGCGTGTCATGATTCTTGTGAACAATACTGCGTAAGAATGTTACCTAAATTTATCGGTCTTGCTACTTGTACATCACATTGTACATCGGGGTGTACATCCCCCTCACATGGGGGTGAGACCCGCTTAGATTAAAAAATAATTTATGCAATGGGTCCCACACCCCATGTGAGAGTGATGTATCCCCTTATGTACAATGTGTGATGTACAAGTAGCATTTTTCTAAATTTATTCATCAGTCATTTGCAATTAAATAAATGTGACACTAATTTCTACTTTCTTTGGCAGAGATGAGGATCTTCTATGCGAGGGAGTAGCATTGAATGATAATTTGCAGCGAGTTCTTACTCAGCATGTTGATATTGCCAAGGGAACACCTATGGTTCTGGTGGCAACAAGAGAAACCCCAATCGCACCTCTTATGAATGTGAATGAGGAGGATGATGAGTCTGAAGATGATTTTGCTCAGTTAGCACATGGGTAATTTTAAATTTATTGTGATGTGTTGTGTTATTCTTCTGTTCGTGTCATGGTCTGCGAGCATGTAGCTTCTAGGATAGGCAATCAATTGTTAAATAGTGCAAATATGGATATGAGGAGTACTTATCTACATATTTGTTTGTTGGGAAAATTGCATCGCTAGTCCCCAATCTATTATCAGAGTAGCAAGTTCGTCCTCAACCTTTAAAAAAATCGACTTGGTACTCAATATTTCTTTATAGCTCTGCCACATAACTCCTCTGTGACTATATGGTCAAAATTTCCTTGAATTGTCACGTGGCCTTGATGGAAACATGCATCCCATCGAATTTCTTGACACCAGCTTAAGTTGGGAAATAAAACCTAGCTTCATAAATCCGGCGTGACAATCCAAAGAGATTTAAATGGCTTCTGTTGTTGGCATTGATTTTCCAACTATAGTGAAAGGTTGAGGACTAGCTTGCATGTCACTTGGGCAATAAGTTGGGGGTAATAGGGGGATTTTGCCTTGTTTCTTGTTGGAACGTATAGGGGTTCGAAATACCATCAACACTTGAGGACTCGGAGAAATTGCTTTTACACTATCCTTTCCAACTTCCAAGAATATCTGTGCGCTAGTTCAGTTGTGTTCGTATTGAGGGTTATATACTAGATTTAAGTTTATATTTATTTTCATTGACCTTTTTTGCATTTCTATTGCAAAATTGTGTTCAAGTATGAAATAATGATATAATTGCAGATCATCAAGGGATACACCACAAGGACATGGACTGAAGCCGGTTGTTGTCAAGAGCGAACCCAAACCAATCATCCGAGTTCTTCCTGCACCGTCATCAAGGAAACCAACTAGCGCTAACTCTGGAACCGTTGATTTTCTCTGTGGTGATGTTTATGAGACTGAAAAATCTTCGGGAACATCTGGATCTACAACAATCCTCGAGCTGAGTCCAACACTATCTTTTTCACCCATCAATGATTCCATAAATCCCACAGCATCATTGTTTGCCCCAAAAACTACGTATGACGAATCTGCTCATACAAGCAAATCTGCCGACCAATTGCCTCTGGCTCCTTGGGATGATTCATCCCCTGGCACCCATCCACCTCCACCAAGGTATAATCAAAGACAACAGTTTTTCGAACTACAGTATCCTCATGGCAGCGGTCCCTTTCACTCGAGTAGTGGAGCGAGGGAATCCCAGAATCCCTCAATCTAATCATCAATCCCGACCAAACAAGGAAAACCAGATGCACTTTTAAAGATTTGGTTAATCTTGCAAATACCAAATCATCTCCTAAGCCTAACAGGTCCTTATAAGTGATTAGTCGGTATAGATTATTTTCGGGTGGTACTGAGTTATCCTTGATTTGTCGATACTGTTGGTTTTATGTCATTGTTCAGACTTCAGATAAATAACGGATAGAAACTTGGTTGTTGATTTTGCGAGCATTTATGGCTATTATGTTTATGACTTGGAACTTCTCCCTGGATATGAAATTGTGAATGGATATTTTTCTTTTTTCAATGGCAATGGGTTTTCTGTGAGATACTCTCTTTGGGTTTTTGACTGGTGTTTTCTATACTCATCACATTGGGATATCATACAAATTCAGGGCAAAATTAAGAAGTGCTAAGACATGTTTTATCTTTTGAAAACAAACTAATGTCTTATCAATAAAATGTTCAAACTCAAGCTACTTCAGGATTGATTTTGAGCTAGAGCTGGACTCTTGTTCAGTTCTGTGATCCACAAGCAGCTGGAGCCAAAATTGTGCTGTGCTGAAACTTTTTGAGCTAGAGCTTGCTCGAAACATCATTGTAGGCCTCTCCTTATATCGTTCTCTTAAGAACTGCTCTGCCAGCCTAACAACTTCTCTTGGCTGCTAAATTTTGAACTGCATCAACAAACGACGTGCAAGAATTTCAGGCAGACGATCATCTCTACTAGAAGAAATAAAAACTTACCCAGAAACTATTCTCCTTCGGTCTTATTGATTGATCTGCATGTACAACTTCAACTCCTCGTGAGTAAGACTTCTGGCCAAGTTTTTGGTGATTAAGACAAAAAGCAAAATACTTGGCCAGAATTCTTTTTCTTGAATTGTGTTGTAAAAACTCAACACCTCCTCTTCTATCAATAGCTTTACAAGGTGATTTACATGCCTCAACTAACCTATCACCATGTGTCTCAGTTTCTTTAGGTCTTGTTCCTTACGCACAACACATAAACAATGTCTTGTTTTAATTGGAGCTGTACAGACCTACATTTGTGCAAATCTAACGTTATAATCAGAACATCATCAATTCGGGTCTTTTTCTGAAAAATTGATGCCCCCAAAAGTGTTTGTGGTCGATTTGGCCTCTCGCTTTCTTTTTCTAGATTTGTTGTTTTTTTATGAACTTAAATGTCCACGATGTCATGTCAAATTCTGCCTGAGCACATCGTTATGGTGTAAAGGTAGCATTTGTAGGACAAGGAAAGAGTGGATTAAATAGGAAAATTTTATATCCCTAGCAGGTGAATCTCTAGGCCACTCTTCATAGGATTCACATGTAGATCTGACCAGCTAGATCAATGGACATTCTGGTCCCGAGAGAAAAATGGGGAGGTAGTACTTGAGGAAATTCACTTTTCTATAGACTTCTTTTCCGACAAAAATTTAGTAGCCATCTGACTCAGGGGAATTTTATAAGAAAGAATAGAATCGCACATGAAAACTCAGGTTTGTTGATTTGCTTACAAATGTCAAGAAAGAGACTTGAGAGAAAATTCCTCACTGAATTTTTATTATATGAAAAACTGAATGCCATTAAGACTTACAAGAATTTTGCTCAAAGTACAGGGCTATATTTCAAAGGTATTTTACAGGGTCCTCACTGTAGCATGGGCCCCACCTATGTTTTAAAAAAAGAAAAAAAATCATGCGGGCCCCACCTTTGTTTTGCCCGTAAGTGCCCTGTAAAATTTTTCCTTATACCAATTCGACTTACAATCCTTATTTAAAGTAAAATAATGATAATGGCGAAAAACCAGATAATGATTAAAATTTAGATAATAACGAAAATTAAGAGCCTTAATCTTCAAGATCAACCCACACCAAATGAAATTGAATTCCAAATTTATTTATAAAACAAAATTACCCAAAAAAAAAAAAAACAGAGAAGGGTTTTTTGGAAACAATGAAATTTGGTCGAAAAAGGTTTTAAATTAGGGACACCCCCGAGTTTTGCTTGTCGGGCCATTTTAATTCAAAATTGACTTAAACTTCTTCGAAAACAGACACTCCTGGAAAATTATTTATGTCTATGCCGTCTCACTTTTTCTTAAAATCTTCTTGTGAATCACATCATCATCACAACACATTTAAAGCTAGTTGGCCATGGTCAAGGTTCATCACTCAATTAATTCACAACTATTTGGCCGTCAAAGTAGGACTAAATTCAATTGTTTTGCAGAGCACATAAACTTGATGTTGAAAAGGATTAGTCGGATCATCAATGTCTGGTAGGTTTTAACAAAGAATTTCCTTTACTAGAGTTACAGATGGCCTTGTTAGTTTTGCCTTGCACAAAAAACCTACATAACTATTGCTTCTCCAATCTCGATAGTCATTACTACTTTTATATGTAGACCTATTATTTTTTAGCGAACTACAGTAATAAAGGACTTTATTGACTACGGGTTGGGTGCAATAGTGGACGAATATCATCTGAAAACTCTACTTGATATCAAAGTGATACCATCTGTAACTCTAGTCAAGGAATTTTTTGCTAGAATCTCTTCAGACATTGATGGAGCCCAGGGGCCGGATCGCGGCGCCTTGGCTCCCAAAACATGAGGAGAGGCAGGGAGACGCCTGCTAGTGTCGTTGAGGCTCCACCTGTTCGGAAGAAAAGTCTCTTATTGCAATTATGATTGAAATTCTTGTATTCTACTTCATCCAAAATACTCGTAATGAATTCCTATTTATACTCCACATGATATAACCATGAGATAAAATAGCAAAGCATTGAAAGAATATCAAAGTGAGAAGATCTAGCCATGAGAGAGAGAGAGAGAGAGAGAGAGAGAGAGAGAGAGAGAGAGAGAGAGAGAGAGAGAGACGTATATTTTTAGATAGGTTGAGAGTTATGCGAAATCCTTTTTTACTTCTTTGCTATTGATCATAGTGAATTCTCCGTCTTTGCCCGTGAGTTTCTCAAATTCGGGTTTCCACCTTAAATTTTGTGTTCTTGTGTAATCCTTCTTATCTTATCAAATTTTCTTGGTTTTAATATTCATAACAAGTGGCATAAGTTCTATAACCGAGTTAGTTTGTTTTCTAAAAAGTAGTATCAGAGCCAAGGATTGAAGTTCTAGGGAGAGCTAGTTTGGTTTCATATTAAAGTAATGTTTAATCAACTTAGTTTGAGGTTTGATTGTTTCAGAATGGCAAGTATGAAGTTTGAATTCTGCTTTTGGATCGCAATATTGGATTTTCTTTGTAGTAGATCAAAATGTGAATAGTTCTTGCTCAATTGGATTTAGATAATGCTCTGTTGGGACTAGATAAGATGCCTTCAACTTTGATACAAGAGAAACAACGTATAGATCGAAAACCCTTTTCACAGATACGTATTCATCTTTCAAATCAAAATTTTCATGATATGGTAAAGGAGAACAGCTTCATTGCATTATGGTTGAATTTTGAGTAGTTATGTATGACTTGGAGTCTAACCAGCAAACTGTATCTAAAGCAGCACTCATATTTTCATCTTTTATCAAAAGGTGGATCTTTGGAAGATCATCTATCTGTATTCAAGAAAATCGTCGTTGATTTGGAGACCATAAAAGTCCAGTACAACGAAAATAACTTAGGGTTGATTTTGCTATGTTCGTTGCCCACTTCATTTATGACATTCAGGGACATCATCTTGTACATTCGTGATACTCTTACCATTGACGTGGTTTGTNGGGGGGGGGGGGGGGGGGGGGGGGGGTCATGGAAGGGGCGTATCTAAGGCTAATGATAATGATATAGTCTGTTATTTCTGTAAGAAGAAGGGGCACAAGAACAAAGACTACTCAAAGTGCCAGAACATGAATAAATTAGTTGCTACAAATCAGAAGGGACAACTTGGTAATTCTAGTGAAACTAGACTTGTAGAAGAAAAATACAATGATGTAGATATTTTGGCTATTTCTGATGGTGAGTCCAAACTTGACGATGACTCGATTCTTGAAATGACTTACACCTTTCATATGTATCCAAATAGGTATAGGTTTGCAACATATGAAATTGTTACAAGGGGTTCCGTGGTAATGGAAAATAATTTGCCTTGTAAGATAGCTGGTATTGGTAAGGTCAGAATCAAGATGTTCGATGGGACGGTCAGGACACTGGGTGATGTGAGATATGTTCCAAACTTGAAGTGAAGTGTTATCTCTTTGAGTACTCTTGATTTAAATGGGTACATGTATACTGGTGGATGTGGAGTTTTGAAAGTTAGCAAGGGTATCATAGTAGTGATAAAAGGATATAGGAAGTCCCAATTATATGTGTTTCAGGGTTCTATGATTACGGTTGATGAAGTTATCATCAAAGGAGATGTTAGAACTTAGGATAGGTTCAGTGAGTCTGATATGATTGTTTATAGTTTGATAAGCGTTGGCTCAGATGGAGCTAGTAGTGATCGGGTAGTTCGTGGGGATAATTAGAGAATGTTTGGTAACTCAGGTAGAGTTGGCAGTGAACGGGATGATTCAAGCAGGTTTGGGGCTCAAGGTAATTCTGCTGGTAAGTAGAGATTGAATTTTGTTCTTGAGTATGCCCGAAGGGGCATGGTAGAAGAGGTGGAGTATTATGCACTATGTTTGGAGAATTACTTGTCGAAGAGTGAAAACTAATTCCATCATATGGATTTTAAGTCAAGGTGGAGATTGTTGGAGTTTGACCCAATTTTCTATTAGATTAGGATTGGGTTGGTTAATTGATAAAATGAACAGAAGTCTTCTTAGTTTGGAAGTCCGCTTTGAAAAGGGATTAAAATCCATCAAAGATTGAAAGTTTGATTGAAAAAAGACTTTGGAATAGTGGAAAATAGCCTTTGAGGTTTTTAGACTAGGGAGATGGCGCCCAGAATGGCTAGTGGTGTTCAAGCGCTACCTTTTCGGGAGAAAAGTTTTGTATTGAGATTCTGATTGAAATTCTTGTATTCTACTTCATCCAAAACACT